TATTTAAATGCAGTCACCCAGATGGCAACAGTGACAGGACACCACAAGGCTACAGATATTGGCAGCCTTGTGCTGAAGTGTCCAGTTTGTGGGCTTCACAGAGCCAGTCTATGTGCTGTTGTTGTTAGGTGCCAAAGAATCGGCTCTGATTCATAGTGACCCTATCAACTGAGAGAAACACTGCCCGGTTGTCAGCCATCCTGAGAGTTCTTGCTATAGTTGAGCCTGTCATTATAGCTACTGTGTCAATCCATCTTGTTGAGGGTCTTCCACTTTTTCTCTGACCCTCCACTTTACCAACCATGATATCCTTCTCCAGGGAATGGTTCATTCTGACAATGTGACCACAGAAGGTGAGACGAAATCTGGCAATTCTTGTTTCCAAGGAATATTGTGACTGCACTTCATCCAGGACAGAAGAATACCATCCTTCTAGCAGTGCATGGTATTTCAATATTCTTCATCAACACCACAACTCAAAAGCGTCAACTTTTCTTTGGTCTTCCTTATTACTTGTCCAGCTTTCACATGCATATGAGCCAATTGAATATACAATAGTTTGGGCTAGGTACACCTTAATCTTCAAAGTGACATCTTTGCTCTTCAACACTTGAAAGAAGTCTTTTGCAGCAGATTTTCCCAGTGCAAAATGATGTATGATTTCTTGACTATTACTTCCATGGGTGTTGATTGTGGATCCAAGTAAAACGAAATCCCGGACAACTTCAGTCTTTTCTCTGTTTATCATGCTGCTGCTTATTGGTCCAGTTGTGAGGATTTTCATTTTCTTTATGTTGAAGTGTAATCTATACTGAAGGCTGTATAGTCTCTCATCTTCATCAGTAAGTGCTTCAAATCATCTTCACTTTCAGCAAGCAAGGTTGTGTCATCTGCATATCACAGGTTGTTAAAGAGTCTTCTCCAATCCTGATGCCGAGTTCTTCTTCATATAGTCTGGCTTCTCAGATTATGTGCTGAGCATACATACTGAATAAGTATGACGAAAGGGTACAACCCTGACCCACACCCTTCCTGATTTTAAACCATGCAGTACACCCTTGTTCTGTTCAAATGACAG